TCTGAAAAGGAGGGAAGCCAGTGTGGGAAAGGCCAGGAGAGAATGGTGGGAAGCCTGCCAAGCTCAGGCTGAAACCTGGCATCTGATCAAGGAGGGCAGGAAGAGAATGCCCCCATCCACACGTCTGAAAAGGAGGGAAGCCAGTGTGGGAAAGGCCAGGAGAGAATGGTGGGAAGCCTGCCAAACCCAGGCTGAAACCTGGCATCTGATCAAGGAGGGCAGGAAGAGAATGCCCCCATCCACACGGAAGCAGAGCCACCTCTCAGGCTGGGGATGGTTAGGTTCACAGGGAGGACCTTCAGGTTTGGCTACATCAAGTCGCCTGAGTGGCCGATGGGAAGTGGAGGCCTGAAGAGGGAAGGGAAGAGGGGAAGGTGAGTTGGGGGACTTCACATTCCCCTCCGCATCGTATAACAGGAGTGAGAACAGTGCTTGTTCATAAGGACTCTGACGTGTCAAGTGCTTGGCCTCGTGCCTGCCCGTTGATAGCACCTGGTCCGTTTCAGCTTTTACTGTTTTCCTAGAGGGGCGTCCATCTCATGTTCCTTGGCTAAGACCCAGGCGCCTGTTGCAATCTCCTAATCTCTGTGAGGCAATCTTGGGAAAGGCTTCGGGAGGAAGAGTTCAGTCCCATGAAAGAAAACACTGTGACTCTGAGCTCTGTGGGACAGAGACAGGCAGCCTGGGTGGAGTGAGCTGCCTATCACCAGAGGATGCCCGGAGTGTAACAAGAGAGGATTAGCACTGAATGGTGGCATCACTCTCAGAGGCGTAGACTCAAATCCTGACTCAGTGGCACCTGGGCAGGTGGCAGCAGGGCTCTGCCTGGTACCCAGCGCATCTGTGCCGTGTTCCAGTTAGATGGAGAGCGCCAAACCTACCTTCTGACACAGCGCTTCTCAAGCACCCAGGCTTTCATTGATTCATTCAACAAACACTTATAGAACGCCCACTATGTGCCAGGCTCTGTGCCAGGGGCAGGGATATAGCTATGAACAAGATAGATAAGACCCCTCCTATCTCAGAGCTAACATTGCGGAAGAGAAAGCAGACAGCTGACAAAGTAAACTCGTAAATACACAAGAGGATCTCGTGTCGTGACAAATGCTACGGGGGATTTTAAAAGGGAGTGATGTAATGAAACAGTAGCTGAGGCTCATGGGGGTGTTGTCTTTTGCCCTGCAGGTATTTTACACCTTTATATAATCAGTGGTATTAAGGTTTTCCTTTTGATTCAAGGATTTTATTTCTGAAGAAGGCTGTCTTTATCCTAAAAATGATTTTTTAGGCTTTCTTCTAATACTGCCTTTATAGATTTGGAATTTATTGTTGTGTGTAGTGTGAGGTGGGTCCCAAGATTATATAGTAACTCTTTTCCCTGCTAAGTCTGAATGACACCTTTATCATATACTGAATTCCCATATGCACAGAGTTCTGTTTCTGAACTCTGGTCTGTTCCATTGATTTCCTTGTCTCTTTGTTCTGATTATTTGAACTTCAGAGTGCGTTTTGGTAATAATAGAGAAAGGTCTGCCTTTTTCTTTTTTTTCAGAAAATTTTTGGGGATTCTTAAGCACTTTTTGGGATGAATTTTAGAATCAGCTTGACAAATTCTGTGGCAAATTCTGTTGGGACTTTGGGATCGCACTGAAGTTGTAGATTAAGTAGAGAGGAATCAACACCTTTAAGGTATTAAATCTGTCATCCAGACACATGGTATGTATTTTGAATAAAGTATACTGTTATATCCACTAGGCAATTAAATTTTTTTCTTAATGTACATTGAGTATGTTCACTGTAGATTTATTTCTAGGATTTTTTTCTCTTTTGAATGGGTTTTTTTTCCCCCTAACTTTTTTATTTAATTGTTGCTGGTATATAGGAAAGCCACTAATTTGAGTGCATTGGTTCTGTTTTGGGCCACCATATTGTAATAATGATTGTTAACTATATTAATTTTAATACTTTGTTTTGATTCCCTTGGGTTTTCTAGGAAGATGAAACCATAACATGTGCAAGTAGTGACTGTTACTTGTCTTTCTTTATCTTTTGCCCTTTTTTCTTGTTTTATTTCATTTGCTAGTATCTCTAGGATAATGTTAAATAGTAGCATTGTCAGTGGGCGTTTTTGTCATTTAAAGACTTTGGTGGGGATGTGTCTTATGTTTTCCCATTGAGTGTGATATTCGCTACTTGTTTCTGGTAGACACTGGTTATCAAGAATTCTTTTCATTCCTCCTGGTTCCTCAGAGCAGAACAGTAACAGGTTGTTATTGAAGAGTATTGTCCCTGTTTTACAGAAGGGAATGGAAAGTTAGGAAAGCTCAGTGACTTGCTGTGCCCACTAAGCAGATGAATCTAATGATCCCTAGTGGGCTCTTGCTGTTGCTGGAATGGTGCAGGCTGTTGACACCCCTTGGGGCATCTGTTCCTCACCTCTGCCAGGTTATATGAATTGCTCAAGGACATTTAGAGGTCCTTGTAGGCTTCAGGACCTACATAGCCATTCAGTCCTCATACAGAGAAGGACACTGAGTCTTTAGGGAGGGGGACCAGCTATCAATGGTAGCACTGAGGTGTGGACCCGGGTCCATCAGGCTCAGAGGTATTCATTCCATTACCCCATTGCCCCTCAGCATGTGCACAGTAGGCATTCTACGGGAGCTTAACTTGTGAATGCCATTTATTTTCAGACCTCAGGGGCAAATGCTTGAGTTAATTATACTCCTCATTTCCTGGCAAGGCTCTTATCCCCTATGCAGGGCTCTCCCTTGTTTTATTTGTGAATTTTTTCTCTTTTATCCTCTTTCTCCATTCCTATCACCACCACCACCCTGTAGGTGACAGCTGTCTTCTGTGTAATACGTATTTTTTTTGTTTTCTTTTCATGTGTTCTTGCAAAATGTGCATTGTTATTTTGTGTGCAATATTTTAAATTTGTATAATGGATTTCATTTGGTTTCTTCCTTTTACCCCTCAGCTCTGTGTTCTGTGTTCTTCCATGTTGCTGTTTGTCCATGTGTCCTGCTCCACATTGCTGTGTGTCCACATGTCTGGGCTCCACATTGCTGTGTGCCCATGTGTGCAGCTCTACGTTGCCGTGTGTCCACACGTCCAGCTCCACGTGGCTGGATGTGCATCTGGTCTGTTGTTTCTGACAGTTGCAGAGTCCTCCATGCAGAATGTCCCCAAATTTTACTCATCCACTCCCCTGGTGATGGATGCCCAGGCTGCCTCCAACCCTTCCACAAATGACACTACCATGGGCATCCTTATACTGGTGTATTACGGGCCTGGGCAGGGCTTCCCTGGCATATACTCTCAGGAGCAAAATGCCTGGGTCCTAGATGATGCACATAATAAACTGCATAAGTGCTGCCTCATATGCTTCCAGGCTGGCCGCACTGTCACTGCTTCCACCCCTGGGCACGAAGGTCTCCACCTGTCAATGGCATTTATCACTCTTCCTAGTTTTTCCAGTTGAATAGATATTTTAGCTTTGGGGTTGCTTTATTCTTGTTAATTTCCAGGAGTTTATTATGTTTTGTAGTGGCAATTCCTTTTCAGTTTTAGACATTCCAGAAATGTCTCCTAATTTGCCAGCAGCCTATTATATTTGTCCATGGAGTTCTTTCCTACACAGAAAATTTGAGTTTTGAGGTAGTCACATTCATCAATTTTTAAACCTACGGTCTGTGCCTTTGAATTTTAAGAAGTTCTCCTCTGCCCTGACTCCTCCTGTCTTCCCCAGTCACCAACATATTCAGCATTAACTTTTTCTATTAACTCTCCCACATGAGCTGTGACGTCCCTCACTGCTGCTGCCACTGTTACCTTCTCGTCTCTTGTCCTGTCTTGGCATCCAGGTCGGGTTCATTAGAAGCTTCATTAGAGTCTCAGGCAGGGGTTCTTGTGCACGTGGTGTGTATTAGTCCATCTCTGTTGCTTATAACAAAATACATGAAACTGGGTAATTTATAAAGAAATGGAATATTTGTTCCTTACAGTTTGGGAAGCTGGTAAGTCCAAAGTCCAGGGAACACATCTGGTGAGGTGACTCTACAGCAATGCCGGGTGTCACATGGTGAAATGGCAGAAGCAGAGGGAGACTAACCTCCTCATTCACTCTCCTTTTAAAGCCACCAGAACCACTCCCATTATTCCAGGAATGAATTGATCCATTCACGAGGGTACAGTCCTCACAATCCAATCACCTCTTCAAGGCCCCACCTTTTAATGACCATAATAGGATTTCCCACCCTCTTAACACTGTCCCAGTGGGGGTCAGGTTTCTAATACATGGACTTTGGGGGACACAATTCAATCCACAGCATGGCGGTTCATTTGGGGAGTCCTTTCAGGAGAAACTGTCCAGGGAGCAGGGAATAGGAACTGGACGGAGCCTCAGCCTGATCCTGCGGGATATCTGGTGTGTGGTCCCCACAGGGAAGTCCCCTTTGAGACAAGGGGGGCTAGGTTTGTAGCCCCATGCTAGTTTTGTTGGCTGTCCTCCTCCCAGCCCCACCCGCGTGGGGAGAACTTAACCTCCCAGGCAGTTCTCCAGAGAAGGTTGCAGTTGTGAGCTGTTAGCAGCCCCCACGCACGGCAGCAGGTTTACCTGCCCAGGGAAGCAGGTCTGGACAGGAACTAGGAACTGGACGGAGCCTCAGCCTGATCCTGCGGGATATCTGGTGTGTGGTCCCCACAGGGATGTCCCCTTTGAGACAAGGGGGGCTAGGCCTGTAGCCCCATGCTAGTTTTGTTGGCTGTCCTCCTCCCAGCCCCACCTGCATGGGGAGAACTTAACCTCCCAGGCAGTTCTCCAGAGAAGGTTGCAGTTGTGAGCTGTTAGCAGCCCCCACGCACAGCAGCAGGTTTACCTGCCCAGGGAAGCAGGTCTGGACAGGAACCAGCTGCAGCTGCTGTACTGGGTGCCCCGACACCTTGGAACCAGATGCCTCCTCTTGGTGGTGACTCTTCCTGTGTTGCCACCCACAGCCTCCACGAAGGACCTGATAGAGACATGCTGTGCAGCGGGACAGCAGTGGGCCATTGATAACGACGAGTGCCTGGAGATCCCCGAGAGCGGCGCTGAGGGCGACGTCTGCAGGTAGGGCCGGCTCCCACTCCCTGCTCCAGATCCCTGGTGCCTTGGGTCCCAGGTCCCAGCAGCGCAGGTGAGCATGTGGCTGTTGTGGGCCAACTGGTCGGGCTTTCTCCAGGCATAGACAGCACAAGACTGGTCCCAAGAATAAAGTAGCCCCGTACGCTGGTAGCTGGCCTAATGAGCAGCATCAGAAGAGCGCACAATTTGGAGCAAGGTTTAAAGGAGCATTATCACTTGGGAACAACTAGGTGCTTCTCTTGCCACACATCACGGTCGCTGCTGTGCAGTGCTCAGCCCCCTGGGTTTTCTCGCCTTAGCCCTCTTTCTTTCCCTACTTTGCTACCCTGGGGTCTCCAAAAGACTGGCCTCTCACCGTTCTCCTCTGCCGCCAGTGCTGCTTGTTTCTTCTGACTCTGGTGTTCTCAGCCAAGGAATCACTTA